AATTTTTGGGTATATTGCGTGATTCGTAGGGAGTAGTGAAAGCAATTTTTCGCTGACTTTTATAATTTATTGTCTATTCCAGGCCGCGTGCTGTGTCTAAAATATTTGGCTCGCGTTGTTGTCAGGAGCCTCTACTACCGAGCGGCAGCGTTTTCTGACCAGGCTGAAAAAGATTTGTAGGGGCCCCTTAACAGGAAAGAGTTTTATACCGTGTTCATACGCGTATTCCCGCCACGGAATTGACGTCAAGAACACATATGATGAAACAACAAAGAAAAAAGTTTCGTCAACGGGAGTCGAACCCATGACCTCACAGCCCGCGGCACGCTATCCACTTCGCCGCGCTCACACACTCCAGAAGTTCTACAAACGTGTCTGTTATATCTATCACTGTCTTCTCACAGTGCTCTTTTTTCGGCAGGTTGTTGTATGCGTCTGAGAGCAGCAAAGTGAAGTAATGCGTCATGACCATGAACGCTTCGTTTAATTCCTGCAACGTCCATCCTATTCGACGCGTTTCTAAGAAATACAAGAACGCACAGTTGAGGTGGTGACCTTGGCCATAGCCTCAGCCACACTCGTAGCACAAATGCATACTAAATATCGCTCTACTACGCGCGCCTTTTAGGGGCGAAGCTCCTCAATACGTGGGTCATGCGTCCGCGATGTATTAAGTTGTAGTTGTAATAAATGTCGTCGTCGTAATAGTAGTAGTTGTAGGTAGCCACCTCTTGTTTAATCCTTGGAATGTCCGCTGGATGGCAGTACTTCTATATGAGGAATATATGCTGAAAAGATTCGAGCTCGCGGTACTTGTAGTGTTCACTTAATGGATGGGCAGACAGAGCAGCAGACAGACAGATGGACGGATGCATGGACAGGCGGACGTACTAATGCACAGCCGGACGCACGCAGGGGCAAATGCACGAATGAACGGACGGGTACGCAGGGGCGGACGGAAGGAAAAACGAACGGACTGACGGATGCTTCGCCCCACTCATCATAATTCCCTCCGTGGATATGCTGTGATTTTTTTCGCCTGGTTTTGTCACTCCTTTCCCTGCTTACCCTTCCTTCGAAAAATCTCGCTGCTGGGTTATAGAGGAGATAGGACACTTGTTGCGTTTCCCTCCAGTCCGGCTGTTGCGCTCTTAGCAAGACGCGCGATGGCTGCATTAGCCCAAGTTCCGCGGCCAGTCAGCGACGCTCTCCTAGCTGTCGCACCACTCTGTGTGAATGCGCTCTAAACGGCAACTGATACAGCTATCCCAAATGTTTTAGGGGCGAAGCTTCTTATAGCGGCACCCGTTTGTCCCTCGTAGTCGTAGTAGTAGGGGGGAACCAGTCTTAGATTTTGACCTCAAAGGTGGTGCCGGTGGGAGATTTCTTCTGTGCGTTGTTGAACAATAAAAAAAAATCGCAGTGTGCGCGTTAACTAAACGCCGAATTTTCCGGTCTCTCATTACCCCTTAGCAGCCATTGGCATGTACATTGAGCACTATCTGACAAGAAAGGCTTGCTACGTTATACTCGCTGGGTGTAACCTCCTTGGTTTTAGAAAGGTTTAGCGAGCGTTGGGCCGCAGTGCCATGAAATACAGTGAACTAGTATATACCATGAACTCGAGGTGGTTAAAGGTGGAAACTAGACACGATGCGCCAGCCGTAAGAAAGTGTGCGTGTGCCACCTCTCGTTTAGTCCTTGGAATTTCCGCTGGGTGGCGGTGCTTCTATATGAGGAATATATTATGAAAATATGTGAGATTTTAGTATTTTGAGTGTTGAATAGGTGGACGAACGGACACACAGACAGATGCATAGACGGACGCACGGATGGCTGCACAGACGGATGGACGCATGGACGGACGCAGGAGCGGATGCATGGACGAACGCAGGGACGGACGCACAGATGGACGTGTGACGCACGAACAGACGCACGCATGAACGGGGGGATGGACGCACGGGCGGCCACACAGACGCTCGCATGGACGGATGGAAGCAAGAACGAATGGACGGACGGATGCTTCGCCCCACTCTCCATCATTCACTCCGTCGATTAGCTGCCATTTTTTTTCACTCAGTTGCGTGCATGAGTGGGCAATGTCACGCATAATTTACGGTAATAACGATCAGTGCTTTGCCCACTCGTCATGATCCACTTCATGGAAATGCCTACATTTTTTTTTCTGACTATGTCATTGTTTCAAAGCCGGATCTAAGGGCACTGACGTAAAGATCTCCTCATTGCAGGGTAGTTTTAGAACGCCGTTCACAGTAGCACCACGGACGCCTGGTACGACTGTATGGAAGGCAGCCCGGTTTTGCACAGCTGCTCTGAAGGCACTAAAAGCGTCCGTTCTGTCTACCAGCCTATACGCGGAACAACATAGGCCACGGATTGGATTGGATAAACTTTTATTTTTTTTTATTGAATAAACTTTTATTTAGGCCACGGAAGAGCGTGCCATTTTGCGGCAAGAGGGTGTCGGGTTGTCATTTAAATCCAGTTCATAGTTATTCGAGCTTCACGTGACAAAACCACGGTGTGTCGTCGAGACAAGCTTCTACCGTTCCAAGTAGGAATGCCCCAAACCGTCCGGTAAACTTAGAATACCCCGCTCTCTCCTCCTCCCAGTGGAAATACTTCATTTCCAGCACAGACCTGGATGCTTAGTGAGCACTGATTGAGCGGGCGATGTGGATATAGCAGCCGAAACAGGTGCCGGGGGGCTCCGTCCATTTGGACGTCGGCAGCTAAACGAGTGAAACTTGTACGACCAGTGCGCCGTAGCGCGGAACTCCGGGTTGAATTCGACCACCTGAGGTTTTCTAACGGACAGATAGGTATAGACCTTTCACTGAAGGCCCCCTAGGCACTTCCAGTAGTTTTCTCTGGGATGTTGTTAGCGTGTTTTCTAATATTGCACTGTCCAAGGAGGGGATTTGCCTTTCAGGTAAAAAGGTCTATAAATGCCGGCGTCCTCATTGCATTTCAACCCCATCGAAATTCGTGCAAATTGATTGGGAAATCGAATGAGCACACTCGTTTCCATAGGAAAACCTTCGCGTGTGCAAGGGACGTTTTGACGCAGAGGCATTGCAAAAACGCCAACATTGAAGTATTCTGTGTGCGTTGTATTCTGTGTAATGTACCTTATTTCTGCGTCTTTCTTTTTCATATTTCAATCTCTCTCATCCTGTACCCATGTGTAGAGTAGAAAACGGCCTGTCCCAAACTCGCAAACCTTCGTTCTCCACAATTTCGTCTCTCTCCTTCTCTAAACTGATACCACTGCGGCACTAAGAGTGAATAAGCGAAAAACAATGTTTAGCCCAGACGAACTGAGCACTGTTATAAAATTTGCTTGCAAGAACTTTCGGCTGAAAACTGAAAAGACTGCGTAGATCCAGCAGGTGCAGTTAGCCGAGGCTGCTGCAATTAGTGCGAGGCGACTTCACGTTCAGATTTGTTTGTTCTGATTGGTAACACTGCGGGTAATTAGCGGGAGAATCAGCGTTGTGTAAGAACAGCACTCGATATAAGGCCACCTGTAGCTCCCCGAGTCGCAGCCCCTCTCCCTATTATGTGTCAAAGTATTGGGCCGACTTCACGCCCTTCCCCCCTCCGGTGGCTAAGAAAGGATGCCCCCCCCCTGCCCCCCCTCCCGCGCATGCCTATGCTTCATATATATGAAATTTCCTGTGAACAACGATTGGTCGATCACCCATTGTGGGTGCGATTCATCTGCTATGGAACATCGTCATCATCTTCATCATCGCTCGAGAACCTCGAGTGCATGAGAAGGTGCGAATGTGAAGAAGAAGAACAGCTCGAGTTGGTGTGCCACGTCGTTTGTGCCACTGCTCCCGGAAAGAAAGCCTCGAAGAGCCAGCTCTTGGCGTCGAAAGAAGAAATTCCGCACTCACACTTGACCTTGCAGGATCTGCCATCGGCAACGTTGGAATCAGCGTGAGTGGATCGATTAGCAACATCGCTGATCTGCTTGCCTTCCCTGAAGCCGTCACTGACCGCACAGGCGTCGGCGGTCCTTAGCCTGTCACACCGAGGTATCTGTATTCTCAAAGTGCATGGATATGCTACCTGACCGTCAGAATACTGGATTCAGTAAACTTAATGCATTCGTCAGGAATATATTTAGTTCCAAAGTCTTATCGCTAGCTGTCCTCTGCCTCTGTTGTCGTGAACTTCGGATTACATCTTATAACATCGTAAGTTGAAAGCGTTGAACGGAACCCGAAGCAAGAATTTCGAAACAATACCTTTGCATTGTTCTATGTGCATGTCGAGGCACACGTTCTGCACATTTCCTTATACAATATTTGCGGCATTCGCGCTACAAAGCCAGACATCAACGCCCAGGCGAAGTGAAAATTTCATGCCGCTATGCATTTTTATTTCGAGCTTATATAATAAGCACCCATGCTCCTCTACGAACTCAAAATGCAGAAATGTACGAGAAAGCGTAGTTTGCTATTGAATACCACTTTTTTTATTATCAGAAAACCATAAAGACTGCAGGGCTAAAGGCGTTAGCATGTGTCTAATGCCCTGACCCTTGTAGAACGAGTGCTCGGCGTACCAACGTAACCAAAAGAAAGAACGATATAAACACACACCAACACTAGAACGTGACCATTTCGGGGAATACTAGAATTAAACATATGTCAATTTGTAGGGGTGATAAGTAAGAAAACCAACATAAAGTAAACAAGTGTAAATATGCGACTTCGTTTGCTTTGTTAGTCATAATTAGAACAGAGAATATATAGTCAATAGCAACTGACCGTAGTCTACAAGGTCTCACTAAAAGCAAAATAAGGAACATAAGCAACATAAAGAGCATGTCATTTTTGAAATAGAACATTGGGGTATTGTAAGAAAACGGTGACATTCTCCACAACGCGTTTCCTCTTTAGCGTTGTTGACAAACGCGTTTTTACAGGTGCCAACGTCCGAACCTGTGGATATATTCAAGCACCATGGCTAGCAAGGCTAAGCCAACCGCGGACAAGCAGAAGCTGAAGCCCTCGAGGGGTACGTCCTATTTCTATTCTAAGCAAAAGCTTTTGAAACACAGTCGGCATTAGTAAAATGTCTTTTTTTCTGGGTGTCAACTAACCCCCTTAACTGAGTGTAGAAAATTTGCATGCGACGTACTTTACGCAGCTGGGAAGCTGCTAGTGTGGCGTTTAGGTGTGTGTCATCGGAAGCATACAGTCGGACACAACTCGGAGGCGTTTCCTTCTCAAAGGCAGATGCACAAGGAAACAAGAAAAAAAAAGTCTCTCTTGGGATGCCTCAAGATCGCGTCAATACTGCTTTAACATAAAACCAATTTATACGCTTGATTTGCCTGTTTGAAGACGACAAAAAGATTAATATAAAAAGTAACACGGCTCCTTATGCACTTGCCTAAGACCACGATAAAGTAAAACTGATCTTTTCTTTCTTTATCACTCGATTCCATGGGCTCCCCCCTCCCCTGAAAGCTTCGGTCACCTAACGTGGTTTTGAAAGAAAATTGTCAACCATTCGTTCGTAGCCCGAAGCCAGTAGGACGCAGTTGTACCTAGCTCAGAGATAGGAGGCAGAGCAAGCTCTCTGCACTTCGCGCCGACTAGCAGTGCCTTTGAGATCGGCCCACCCGGGGCAGTTTCAAACAGCCTTTATGTATGTTCTTACGTGTACTCGTATGTCTGCATGTACACATGTAAGAGTGAAATTTCTGAAGAGTGGGAGGATTCGGGGAGGTTGAACTCCTTACTTCCCTTTCGCCACGCCAATGTATTGACATTGGACCAAGTGATCATGACGTCACATGAAGTGACACGTTTTGGAATTTGTGACGCCAGCGACTTCATCACGTGGTGCTGGTTTCTCGCGTCACTCGTGTTGGCGCCGTCGACGGTTTGTCGTGGTGTTCAATGAGGCACTTGAGGCTCTCGCCTGAAGCATTGGATATATATGCGTTCAATTAACGAGTTAAAAAAGTTCTACGCTTGTATGTATGTTACATCGCTGTCGAATCCTGCAGGCCGTGTTATCGGGAAATTGCCCGGCTCACCAACGCCGGTCAAGGCTGGCAGCACCGGAGGCGCAAAAGAGGCTGCCACTGCTGGTCGCAACATCGCCTTGGCCGACGAACGCTCGCGACATCCGGGTCACAAGTCCAATATTGGCGTATGTTCACAACTGTCACTTTGATGTGTTGCTGGCGCTCTGAAAGAGATTCAAGCACGCGAACGGCCTACACAGTGCCACGCCGAACGTGGCACTGCGATCGATAGCCTACATTGTGTCGTATAAGAGCTGTGCGCGAGCGCCACCTAAGTGGTGCAGTGATAGAATGCCCGCTTTTCGCAGATGCCCGGGTTTGAATCGCCGCTGCAGATGGAGGGATTTTGCTTTTGGTGCATCTAAATTTTATAGCTATAGTGGATCTTCTTTTGTTTCCCAAATTCCTCACCTTCCTTATTAAGAAAAGCATCTTCGGTCGTGTATGCGGCCCGGATTTCATCAATAAATGAAAGAAAGAACCAACAAAACGAAATCCCGCGGCATCGGCGTCCGCACTACGCATGCGCAACTCTCTACCTTCCTCTCTCCAAGAGCTGCGCGTTACTCTCTCGCCTCGCAACGCCGACACGAATTTTTTCTCATTGCCCATTAGCAGCGAGATGCCTGTTCCAGTACGAAAGGCAGGTCCATCACTGAGTGCTTTTGGCCTCCCCAGGTTTCTTTCCTGCGCAAAGCCGCGATGAGCGCAAGCGTCAACGTTGCCGCCAGTTAAGCGATAGCGCCCACTGCTTCGCGTCTTCACATGGTTCCCTTTGGCTGAACATGTTTTTCTTTTTCTCTTGTGGTCTTCCGTTGTCCTCTCGTCGAGTGCGATTTACCGGCGCAACTTCCATGACGAAAATGACGTTAGTGAACTCTTTGTGGACTCCGGCATAAATCAATTTTGTGTAAAAAGTTAAGAAGGAGTGTGCCAAGCATTCACAAAACAAGCTCCTCCGAAGCCGCTGCATAATACGCAAAGGCTAGCTCCTAGAACTCGCATCATGCGCCCGTTTCATTTGATTCTTTTGCCGGGTTCATAAAAATAAAAGTTGACGAGAACACGCACCGAGGTGCACGTTCTCCGTCGTCTTGGTAGAAATCCGAGTAATCTCGTGCCTCGTTTCTCTTTCCTTTTTGCGGGGCTTGAAGATTTCACGTGACACTCCTGCCTAGTTTTTTTCCATCAAGGCCTGTAGCGACCACTCTAATGCCACTAAACCGAATCTGCTTGTGAAACACGCGAAAGCTCTGCGTTAGACACCCACTGCCGACGCCATGGATGCAGAAGGTGCACTTGCCCTGATCAAGCCTCACCGCCTCACCCAAGCTGTACCAGTGTTTTTCCTCTCCCTCAGCCACCATGCAACACTGGTTCGCACCAGAAAAGAATCACGCCGGAAGTTCTATATCCATACACCACGTAAACTGGCTCCCGAAACGGTAGTGCACTAGAATATGATCCTATTCTCATTCAGGTGTGCTGAGACAAAACGTTCAAAACAGATTACTGTAATATATGCCTCATGCGAGAGCGTCAGTAACCGAGGTGCCAATAAGTTGGGGGTCTCAAGCCTCGGCCCCAAAAGGCAAATTTGGGTATTTCAGAAGGGGTCTTCTCTACCCGAAACTGCTGCTTCTCTACCCGATGCTTCTGCTTGGTAGGATTTTTTTTCTGCTATTTCTGCGGACATCCACCTTGGTACCCCTGAAACTTGGATTTATCGTCACCGCCAAGTTCTCCGCTTCGCCTAGACAACACCTTCGTCCAGGTGGGTCCAGTTTTGACAACTTGAGGGACGTCCTTCACTCCCGGCTACAACGCCGCCTCGCTAAGGGCTCTCAGCCCGGCGATGGCGGCCGCTAACGTGGTTACGGGCTATGATCCTACCTCAAGCCAAATGCTGTCCATGGAGATTTCATCCTCCGAAAACACTATGCCATCAGAAGATGAATACCTCGACGACATGGTGAAACTGTGGCAACGCAAGCAAGCGAAATCGAAGTCTGCGTCTCAACAACAACGAGACGCCACAGCGGGCCACCATTCCCCAGCCTTGCAAGGAACGCCGGCGCGCCATCCCTCCGGCGGTGTGCCTTCCTCTGCTCCGTCCTCGCAGCCAGCGAAGCAACGCAAGTGGCGTCCGCGTCAAACTCCTCGCCTCTCTCGCGACGACTACATCGTAGTACTGAACCCTCGCGTTCCCTGCGAGCTACGCACATTTGTCCCGGCCGATCGCGCGGGCGACGCCATCCGCAGCTACCTCGGCGACCGGACTACCACGCAAATTCAAGTGTGGCCAATCTGGGAACAGAACATCTTGGTCTGTAGCACCACCATTTTGCCTATGGCACAGCGACTCCTCGGGGACTTCCAGCTGCAAGTGGGGGATCAGCAGCTGCCCGTTCGAGGCCACGCCAAGGCACCAGGGAATACATGCAAGGGCGTCATCAATGTAAACCCTGCTGAAAACCCGGAAAAGATAAAGTCTGAACTGTATTGGCCTCAAGGTACTATCCTTGCGGTCCGCAAACTCAGAGATTCCACGGCGGCGGTGGTGACTTTCGAGGGCACGAAGTTACCCCGCTTCCTCTTCTACCACTGCGTGGCGACGTATATCCGCGCCTACAAGAAAACGGTCCCTGTATGCACCAAGTGCGGTACCATCGGTCATCGACCACCTCAGTGCCCTCACGCCGCTCCAACCCAGTGTGCCAAATGTGGAACCCCCGCACCTGCAGGTCTCAATGCCCACGGCTGCCACCCCAAGTGCCTCCTCTGCCACGGCGCCCATGAGACTGGGACCAGTGGCTACACGGCAAAATACCGAAAATATCGGAAACGCAAGCAGCCCTCAACATCTCCTCGAGGGACCACCTCATGTTCGTCACAGCCAGACAGCAGCACAAACCTGCATCATTCGGCTCCAACACTCCACGCCGACTCTCAAGCATTCCCACCGCTCGAAGCACCAGCGGCGGTACCTCAGGTGAGCAGTTGGGCAGGGAAAGCTGCTTCTAAGCCTCTCTCACCCCCTTCTGTCGATCCTCCTTCTCCCGAACTTGCGGCCCTTCGCCAGCAAGTTGCGGCACTTCAAAAGCAAAATTCTCTTTTAACTAAACAACTCGAACTCTTAAATAAGCGACTTCAACCCCAACAACAGTGTACTGCAAGGCCATCCGGTATTGCCTCCTCTGTCCAGGCGGCTACGCCAGCTACGTCCAAGCTTAGTCCTCGCGCTAAGTCCACTCCCAATAAACCGCCGGTTCAAGCAACCATGTGTACTCCAGCACTCGGAACCGGTGCCACATCTACTCCAGAAGCTCTTGAGGCTCCTGGGGCACCTCAGGTTCTCTTGCCCGCTAACCAAACTCTCCCTAGCGAAGAGCACACCCCGCGCGTAGAGGAACGCCTCACGCGCGTCGAAGCTTCGATTAATCACCTCCTCACCAGCTTCTCGGTCCAACGCATAGTAGTAGAGGTTACCCAGGCTATTCAAGCCTGGGCAATCACCCAGTTTCAACCCAAGGCATCGCGTTCCCGCTCCTGCTCGGTGAGCAGTGAGGGTACAGCTCCACGGCGTCGTCGTAAGGTGGCTACCACCACCCCGCCGTCGGACAATCCAGCCTCCGTGCCCCTCCCTGCCTCTGAGGATTCCGAGCGGGACATGGAGGACCAAATATAAAACCTAGGACAGTCACGATGGCTACCAATCGTACGTCCCGTTCAAACATTGCGTCTAAATTCGAGATCATACAGTGGAACCCTGGAGGCTTCGGGAACAGGCGAAAGCGTTCACATCTTTCCCTTTTCCTCAGCTCACTTGGCTCTCAGCCGGCCGTCTTGGCGCTCCAAGAATCTGGCCCTGCTCCATCCCTTTCTGGATACTGCTCCTATGTAGGCGGCACCACCACATGCCTCCTCGTGCATAAAGGTTACACGGCGATACAGATCGACCTCGATCTGGATCTTCGTTACGACTACTGCATGATATCAGTGCTGTCTCAGCGGAGGGGCCAACCATCAATATATATCTTAAACGTGTACTGTCCCCCTCGCTTTTCGAGGGCTTCGTTTGCGCATCTCTTCCATCGGGCACTGCGTATAGCGGCCCGACAACCACTGGTGATTGTCGGGGACTTTAATGCCCCCAGCCCTCACTGGGGTTACCACTACGAGAAGGCCCGGGGCAGAGAGCTCAAGGAGCTCATTTCCTCGCTGAGCCTGACGCTTCTTACCGATCCGGCACAACCCACACGTTCCGGCAACTCGGTCACGCGAGACACATGCCCCGACCTCTCCCTCACCCGTCACATCCGCGATGCTACATGGGAAAATTTAGGCGAAAACCTAGGCAGCGATCACTTTTTACTCCGCATTTCGTTCACACCGCGGCAGAAAATGCGCCAACACTGGGGCCAAGCCCGTCTCACCGATTGGACTCAGTTCAGAATGCAACCATTCCCCACCGGCCTCTCCTCGACCGAATATGCAGCGTGGGCATCATACGCTCTTCATATGAAACAAGTGAATACTCGCACCCTTGCAACCTCTAATTTGACTCCTGCAATCGATCCACACCTCCTACATCTTTGGCACGCTCGCCGCGGGCTCATAAGGCGCTGGAAACGCAACAAACTTAATCGGAAACTTCGCACTCGCATTGAGGCGCTCACTGCAGAGGCGGCCGCATACTCCGCACAACTTTCCGATGCTAACTGGGCAGACACCTGTTCGAAGGCTGCAAACCAGATGAGCTCTAAGAGTGCGTTGCGACTCTTTAGAAGCCTTCTCGATCCCTCCACCACCAGGGGAGAAACGCAACGCCAGCTCCACCGTGTTCTGCATGCATTTCAGGGCACTACGGATGAACTCGCGCGAGAACTTTGTGACCGCTACATCTGCCGCACAATTGATCCCGCAGGCCCAGCATATACGTATTCCGGCGCCCCTAACACCGACCTCGACGCCCCATACACGCTTTCTGATTTACGATTTGCACTCACGAAAATGCGACGGGGCACGGCCCCTGGACGCGACGGAATCACAGTATCGCTCCTGGCAAATCTTCCCGACCAAGCACACCTCTCGCTACTCCAGCTTATAAATTCGATATGGGACG